TATTATACTTGCCGCAGTTATGGCCATGTGCTGCTTCTTGAGCTTTTTTTCATTTTCGTGTATTACACAAAAACAGATACAAATTAAGAAAAGAAATTAGTCCCTGAATTGTATTCCAACAAATAATTCAGCTAGGGCACTAGGTTCCAGTACAATTCACCAACCACTGTGTAGCCAAAAGTGTGGTGAACAGAATGAACAGAATGATGTCAAAGCAAACCTAGAGTTCCAAGAATAAGTCAATTAAAAACGCGTCAGTTTAGACTTAAGCCAGCGTTTTTTTCAGCATTCAGCAAAAGGCTTCATGGTATCTCCCTGCTGTCTCCCATTATACACAAAAGAAAGAGTAGCAGTGGGGTCTCCCATATTTATAAGGTCTCTCCACGTTTTCCTATTTTCAGTAGAAAAAGGGGCTATTTTTGCACTGAGAATATGGAAAATAATAAGCGGTGGTTCTCTCCTTTCATTGACCTTTTTTTTTTTTAAATTTTTTTATTTTTCATCATTATTTTTAAGTGTTTCCTCATTGGATAGAAAATTGCATTTTTTGACTTCCTAACTTAAAACTGTGTTTTTTTCAACATCTGCTCGGTAACCCCTATTTTTTCCTCTGCATATTTTTTATCCTCTACGTATGCAAATCACAAGTAAAAAAAAATTCACAGATTTCTGTAAATATAAACAAAATTATAACAGTAAATAAATTAAAAGGTGTCTGTTTAAAATTAAAAACCCTGTCACATTTCTGCAAATATCTCAATAGAAAATGGACAGAAAAGCGAAAAAATTGGAATGCAAAAGTTTAAACATCCGTAAACGAAATGATTCATAACACATCACGTACACAGCTAAAATTAAGGTTTAGCTCATCTTCACAGAGGTCAGCTGGATAACCTCCGTCTGCCTTTGTATAACGCAGTGGCATTGAGCCAAAACCGCTGGAGTTTCTCCAGCAAACGGCCTTTCTGTTCGCAAATAATTTCACGCCAAATCAAAAATGATTAGGCCACATATATAATTGGTGCAAACGCTGTAAACTCCTTTAATTTCAATTTTCTATCTCGGCTAACTTGTTGTTCACAGTCGTCTTTTTTACGTTTTCCTGAACTACTTTAAACGTAGTAGGTTGCAGTAATCGAGACGACAACTACGATATATGAACATTTAACAAAGTTATTATCGTTAAAAAGTACACGCGAAAGTTAAAGTTACTCTCACTACTCGCTTGAAAAAGGAAATGAAAGCAAGAAACTGTAGACGGAAAGAGGTAAAATATTAACAAACAATGTAAAATAGATAACAAGTCATGAACACGGGCGATTTGAAAGTTTAGCACATCTTTAGGGAAGTGCTTGAATGACCTCTAGGTATAATACCTCCGTATGGCAAAGGGACATTGCGCCAAAACCGTTGGAATTTTTCCCGTCAGAAAGGGTATTTCTTCTCCGAAAAACTTTATGCCAAATTAGGAGTGAACTCCTGTATATATTTATTTGATGTAGCCAGGCACGGCAGAAATGGTTTCTGGAGTAACACTTTCGTTTGAGTGAAGAAAGGGCAAGACAAATTTCCGTTGTGCTGTTACAGCGTTTGTTCATGTATAGAAATATTTGTGTTCGTGATGTAAGTCCTTTATCTGCTGGACAGTGTCCTTTTTGCGAAAGAACTTGGTAACAATTTTTTCAAGACTTCACTGTAACATTTTTTTCTTTCAGCAGTTACTTGCTGATTTAAGAGCGTCTGTCATATACTGTGGTTTTGAAGGACTTCAGAACATATCGTTAATCGGTGCTGATGACTGATGAGAATTACTAGTAGTTCACTTTAGAAAACTGAAGCTGTAAAAGTATAAATACGTGGCCAAAGAGTTTTCCACTTTTTACCTATATTTTTTGAAAGGCTGCCGAAAGTATCTTGTTGAAGTCTCC